AAAATGGTAAAAAAGTCACTAAATATAAATACATATTTGATCTTTTAAACTATATAAGTTAGATTTATGAAGATTTGGCAAGGCAGTAAAAACAACAAAACAGTCCCAAACCACACCAATATTACGCACGGTAGTCCCTCAACAATTGTGATTGGACATCAAAATAAATGAATATTGATCTGTAAAACACTCTAGCTTTTTGATGAATACAACGTGTACTCAAAGATCGAAACGAGGACATTATTGATGGCAATTTTCCCCCATGTATTTTTTTTGCTGTGTATTAACTATTTACAAGAAATAACAATGTAAATAATCAAAAGCTTATTTTCAAAGGATATAATAATAATGCGTAAAATCGCAAAACATGAAAAGGAAGCAGAAGGCTGTTGTTACGGGGTCACCAATCGACACAAAGTCACGATCACGTTCCAGGGTCCTGTCTTTGGTAAATCAAGAACGATTCATCATTTCAAAGAAAACATTAAACAGTACCCCAAATCCTCTGCTTTAAAATACAGGGGGGGGGGGGGGGGCGGAAATTGGGACTTATAACTCGGGAAATACAGTATACGTGGAAACACACAACAGATGTCTTTCCAGACCCATTCACCTCCTGTCACTTGTATATACAGTTATATACAGTATAGTATCATCCATCCATAATACAGGGGAGGTTTTTAGTCACGAAAGCCTGTGTTAAACTATGGTATCCTGTTCATTATTGAAATAGATAACTGAATGATATACGATTTTTAAGCCAGCCAACCACGTGGGCAACCTAGATTTAAATGGGTTTTTTTTGTATTACGATTGACCACATACTCGATATCCTGAAGACGTTTAATGGTTAGATCTGATTATTCCTCCAGTATGAATATATATTCTGATTCTATCGAACGTAATGGGCTCTTCGTTACAATTCACGGGTCATCTGCTTTTCAAACTACCATTCTACGCACCTGATGTAGTCTCTTTAATTCCTCATATTAATAATTATCAACACTTAGATAATCCAAAAGCCTTGTTTAAATATTAAGTGCCCCTGTGCTCAGAATGTGGCTGGGTCAATCCGGTGGTTGATAAATATATGGTCATGGTCGAGCAAACTTAGCTATCACCAAGGTCCATGGATTAGACCTGGGAAAAGGTGTCCAAGCAGAGGGAGAATTTAATGACCTATCACGGTTGCCCTTTCGTGCAGAAAAGTAGTACATTCGGAGTTTTCTCTGGAGCCCAGCAAATATTTTTTTTAGATTCTGAAAAGCATTACATTATGAGTTTTCCCTGGAGCCTAGCAAAGATTTTTTTAGATTCTGACCTATTCTACACCACCTACAAAGCAAGAAAAAGGTGTCTAAAATCCCATACTCAAATGATGATTCAGTGGGGCTCCAATCCTTTATTTGCAATGCCGAGCAAACACAGAAATTGCCATATAAAGTATTCCTATAACCAAAATCAATGTCATCATAGCCGAATCAATGATACCGCCACCTTAACAATCTGTCCGTCTGTCTGTCTGCGTACGCTCGATAGCGAGAGATTTGGCTCTCGGACCGTGGGGTTCATCTGACCACAACACTTTCACCCAGTTGTCCTCTGAATCATTCAGATGTTCATTGGCAAACTTCAAACGGGCATGTATATGTGCTTTCTTGAGCAGGGGGACCTTGCGGGCGCTGCAGGATTTCAGTCCTTCACGGCGTAGTGTTACCAATTGTTTTCTTGGTGACTATGGTCCCCACTGCCTTGAGATCATTGACAAGATCCTCCCGTGTCGTTCTGGGCCGATTCCTCACCGTTCTCATTATTATTGCAACTCCACGAGGTGAGATCTTGCATGGTGCCCCAGGCCGAGGGAGATTGACAGTTCTTTTGTGTTTCTTCCATTTGCGAATAATCGCACCAACTGTTGTCACCTTCTCACCAAGCTGCTTGGCAATAGTCTTGTAACCCATTCCAGCCTTGTGTAGGTCTACAATCGTGTCCCTGACATCCTTGGAGAGCTCTTTGGTCTTGGCCATGGTGGAGAGTTTGGAATCTGATTGATTGATTGCTTCTGTGGACAGGTGTCTTTTATACAGGTAACAAGCTGAGATTGAGCACTCCCTTTAAGAGTGTGCTCCTATTCTCAGCTCATTACCTGTATAAAAGACACCTGGGAGCCATAAATCTTTCTGATTGAGAGGGGGTCAAATACCTATTTCCCTCATTAAAATGCAAATCAATTTATAACATTTTTGGCATGCGTTTTTCTGGATTTTCTTGTTATTCTGTCTCTCACTGTTCAATAAACCTACCATTAAAATTATAGACTGATCATTTCTTTGTCAGTGGGCAAACGTACACCACCAAAAGTAGGTACGCACTGCTGTAGTCATAGCAGGTAACCAGTCAGTATGCAATGCTGTAGTGAAAGCAGGAACCAGCACAGTATGCACTGCTGTAATCATAGCAGGTCCCACCGCAGTCAGCATGCAGTGCTGTTATCATAGCAGGTACCACCACAGCCAGTATGCACTGCTGCAATCATAGCAGGTCCCACCACAGTCGGTATGCACTGCTGTAATCATAGCAGGTATCACCACAGTCAGTATGCACTGCTGTAATCATGGGTGCCACCAGTCGGTATGCACTGCTGTAATCATAGCAGGTACCACCACAATATGCACTGCTGTAATCATAGCAGGTCCCACCACAGTCAGTATGCACTGCTGTAGTCATAGTAGATACTGCTATCCAGTTGGTAGATCATGCTATGTAGAGTTAGTAGATACTAACACAGTCAGGATATACCACTGCAGTCAGTAAATACTGCTATAGAGTCAGTAGATACTACTATACAGTCAGTACGTACTACTACGGTGAGTAGCTACTGCTATAGAGTCAGTAGATACTACTATAGAGTAGATACTGCTATAGAGGTAGTAGTTACTACTATAGTCAGTGGATACTACCAGAGTCAGCATATACTACTATAAAGTTAGTTGTTACTACTATAGAGTCGGTACATACTACTGTAGGGTAAGTAGATACTACTACGGTCGGTCGTTACTACAGTCAGTAAATACTACTATACAGTCAGTAGCTACTACTGGCTCAGTAGATACTACTGTACAGTCAGTAGATACAACTACAGTCAATAGATACTACTTACTCTGTTGTATGTAGGGTGTGTAGGTATATATACCTACGTGGGGCTAAATATATTTTGAGGGGGGGGTCGACAATTTTCAGAAACCTTTTAAATCAACTATTTACCCCACACTTTCTATAACTTTTTGGACTTTTGCAAGCCTCTTATAATTTTGTTGGAGAAATGGACAAATGGCCCACCGGGCTTTCACAATATCTTAGTATCTGTGTATATGTAAGGTTTTTAAGAGAAGTTTTGAAATGTTTTGCCCGGGCAACCCCGGGTATTTACCGCTAGTGTGTTATATTCTCCGATCTTTATGACGATTCTGGCCAGAATTTATGGGAGCCAGCATATCCTACAATGCTTGAGTACACTATTCTATTCATCAAAAAGTTCGAGTGTTTGACATCTCAGTTTACCCATAACACTAGTGTCTCTTCTGTAATCTGCCAGCCAGCCTCAAAACACTTCATGGCCTCAAAGTGCACCAAGCCTAGCACAAATGCAGTGGCGTCACCACCAGTGGCAATTGGCAGTTGTGTATAAACACACATTTATATACGTGTATGCAGGGATTTCGTGGCATATTAGGACATTGCACTAGAAACACAGAAACATCAGGGTACCAATTGCTCACATCAGAGACCATTATCTGAACCAGTCCTTCGCCTCCCGTAGATTGACTCCGCATGAAATGAGTACCTGGTGCGATGTGTAGATATCGTCAGTGGTGGGGATAACAATGACGGTCCGTCGTGGTGCTGCGCGCACCACCCCCTCGTGTTCCCATGCTGGCCTTCCTTAATCGACACTTAACAACACTTGCACCAGTCCATATGGCTAAACGGGGATGGTTTTACAGTATACAAATCGAGCGAGCATGACCTCACACAATCTCGCCTACACACCCAGCTGTCCACATGCAAAGTCGTGGGCGTATGTGTGCAATGTTTATTTACAACAGTATTTATGCAATTGTTCAATTTGTAAAGTTATTCTTGAATAGTGGGCAGACCATTAAGCTACGTCTATTTTGAAGTGTTGTATTTGTTACTTCAGCAATAAACATTTAGTTTCTTTAGAATTCAAGAGTATTGTTTTAATGGCCTTTAGGCCATTAACATTTGCGGATTAATCAAACATGTAAAGGGAGAATGCTGTAGAAAATGATAATGAATTAGAGATGTATTGTTTTGCCAAAGGGCTCTACATTTAATAGTCCAGCAGTTCGACATTATAGCCCTGTACCGAGGCACAAAGGTTAGTGTTGAAAGTTATTGCTCTCTTAGCACTACACTTCGTATATTGCTCATGCCAAGGGTAAATGAGTTACCTTTATTAAACTTCCATGTTTGGAAGCCTACAGAATTCAAGAGGCATGTCTGCTGAACGCAATACGTATATGAAAGTAGACATTGAAACACTATTGCAGATGTGTAATTACTGTAATGCAAATATTTTATCGTCAAATATTAACCCTATTTTAGTCATTATGCCAATGCAAAGTTAAAAGCAAATGTAAGCAGCATAGAAAACCCAATTAGTCGTGTCCATATTGGCACAATAAGCACAGTACAATTACATGACTAACTTTTGGGTTAGACCTGAACATACCATTTGTTATGTAAACACACTGCATTAAAAATTAACACAGATGTAGACCACAAACGTGCACATGATTAAAATCAACGCAGTCTCTTAAGAAGCCTGCAAACTTCATCATTCAGTTATTGGTGAAAAATAAAATGCCCCAATTTGAATGTTAAGACAGCAATCTTAGTTTAGACCTGCTGTGCTCGTGTGTACGACCAACGCACTTACAATTTAACACCATGTTGTTAATGATCGTGACAAAGAATCAGTGTTTCATCTCAAATTTATTTAAAAAGAACATAAAAGCAATCGTCAGTGACAATCAATGCCCACTGAAAGGCTTATTTTTGTGCAGGCAGGCAACACCAGCACTTATCCATGCAGATTTGGCATCCGTTCCACACAGTGCACTGCACCCACTCCCAGCACCCCACATCCTCCACACTTACTGTGGCAGACGAACTTAAATTCAAGCGTCTGCAGTGCTCGCGTCAAATTTTGCTGCTAGAAATGTATTGCTAGCGCCAGACTAAAGGTTGCCGAATATTACTGGGTGAAGTTTCCTATAGCGTCCGTTGAAGGGATAATTTCCCACCTTGATTACAGTATTTTCATTAAAAAACTTCTCCTGCAGGTAATTTTTATTCAACACTCCATAAATCGTCAAAATATCCTGTAAACTTGAACAACTACAGTGGAATAGGACGCACTAACATTTAATATTCGTGTTCTCATCTTGTCGGATTTGTAGCTTTGTAAAATGTCACGTAAATCACAGCTATCGTTTGAAAACCAACCATATAGAATCCACTGCATTTTTTGTCTCAAGTTTACAGAACAAACGCGGATTTACCGCGTGAATCGATGTGTGCCCACAGAAATCATGCCCCTCACCTCCTCGCCCAACCCAGGAAAAGTCAACAACCCCAGCACGGCAGCCCCCTGGCGCGCACACATGGGTTACACACACACACGAGGTCACGCGAGTGCGCCAAGTGAGCGCTCGTGTGGATTCTCGGGTTGCATTTTTAGGAAAGGGGGAAAGAAAAAAACCAACTTGTCACCCAAACATTAAAAACACACCAGTACAGTGCAATTCAAACTTTTATCCACACACTAACATGCTGTGAGCACGATGCATGGGCTGTCCACACAAACGAAGCCTCATTCTGGCTGGTACAGTGGTGTGAAATCAAGCGTGTTTATTTAGACATTTCTCTAAAATTCCTGACTACCTGTACCAACCGTAATGAAGTATTAAGATGACACAAAATCGAGTTCAGTGTCAGTACTGCCCATTGTCAATGTGCACTCTCCTGGTTATAAAGTTACTGTATTTACACAACTGCGCTAAAAACCCCATGCCATTAATGTACAACAGTTTACATGAAAACTCCAATATACAGCATATACAATTTCTTCACGCTAGCATATATTTATTGTTACTCAAACAAGAAAAACGGCTGGTGCTATTAGTTTGATATTCATCACGACAATCTGATATTACTTGAAGGACATCTGGCCACACGCACGAGTTTCCTGAAATCTTCACCATTTAATTTTATAAACAGTACTTTTTAAAAACCTATGTATCATCCTTTGCCTGTTAAAAACCGCACTTCTGAATTTACATTTTCCAAATAAACTTAATGATCAGATTAAATGCAGTACTATTTTATAGCCACGATAAAAATATGACGTGGCAACGTCACAATTATGAAACAGACACCTGGGTGGAGTTTCATTACAAGGCTCCACAAGTCACTCGGGATGAACAGGGCCTTGTTGTAGGAGCACCGTTAAATAGCAGCCACAATAACTCCTCTTTGATTTGTGTATCTAAAAGTTGCAAGAATATGGCCTCTTCATGAAACGCAATCATTTATCGACTCATGGAAACAACACCTCTAGGTGGTGTCTCTCAACTGAAAATTTGGAAGAAGTTATAAAATCAGAACTCAATATCTATAGGATCACAGGCCAAGTGCCTTTATGCCTACCGTCCACTCCATTCGAGCCCTTATGATAGGCCACCAAAAAGTAACAATATTATGCAAAACTAATGCTTTATTATCACGCCAGTGAATCAATATGCACTGTTTCAGTTATGCATCACTGATAGATCCACTAAATCACACAAAACAAGTTAATTCTGTGCAAGTATGAGGAAGTGGCTTACCTAACACTATTAAACAATTAGGCCACCCCAGATTTACTCAAGGCTGCAATTTGGAAACAGCGCAAGTGGTAAAAATAATAATGAAAAAGGACAAACCACTATCCCCATGGCAAAATGAAGCGAAGCTAGTGTGTGCTATGCCTGGAAAACTGATCAAAGAACGGGCACCATCATCCCTGCGTGAGACCATGCGTGAGACCATGCGTGAGACCATGCGTGAGACCATGCGTGAGACCATGCGTGAGACCATGCGTGAGACCATGCGTGAGACCATGCGTGAGACCATGCGTGAGACCATGCGTGAGACCATGCGTGAGACCATGCGTGAGACCATGCGTGAGACCATGCGTGAGACCATGCGTGAGACCATGCGTGAGACCATGCGTGAGACCATGCGTGAGACCATGCGTGAGACCATGCGTGAGACCATGCGTGAGACCATGCGTGAACGTGCATGCTCTGGCAGGGGCGTGGGGGGCGGCTGGCTGGCTGCGCGAGGCTGGGCATGTCAGCCACTTGCTCAAAAGGGAATTTAGCAGTAGGACATTTTTGGGATGTACGAGTGAGACGGGTGTTTTCTTTTTAAAACGATGTTAAAAGGCACAACCTTTAAAAGGGGTTATAAAGTTGGTAGGAGACAGAGAGGTTGGTGGTTGACCGCTACCTGGATGCACCTTAGGCAGGCACACATCACACTTCCACGCTCGATACGAACATGCCAATGCGTCCTGTGAGGGAACCCGTTGGTTGTGCACACAGCTGGGCCTAGTTTGTGTCCATGTTGTCCATGTTGTCCATGGCATCCTCCTCTCCGCTGGTAACGTGTCTGTTGTCCTGCGAATCGTGGTTTTCCTCGGGGACGCCCAAGGATGCCGAGACCTCCAGAGCACGCTTGAGGTTGTCCCTCCGCTGGTAGAAGAGCACGTACGCAGCCTTCGACTGCCAATGCAAAGACAATTTTATGCACTGCGATTCCAGGCAAATTTTATTTAGAAACATAAGGAATAATCACATAGAGATCCACCATTTTGGTCGTCGATTGCCTTTAGGTCTCGTGCTAAATATTGGTAAATACAATTTTCAAAACAGGATTATAGTTTTAGTAGAGCACAATAAACATGCACGCAATTTAAAAAGATACAGGAATGCAAAAAAGTACATGATGCATATAGACAATACATACAACTGAAACAAGAAAATTGAATGCACTTCACGAGCTTGTATTGTGTTTAATTATTGGAGTGATTTCTACATGCAAAACAAGTTTCAATGAAGGTTTTCAAGAAAAACGCCTACAAATTCTCACCACAATCTGATCTTCAGCCGAGGAGGAAACACTGCTGTCATCAAAGTAGTACCAGGAGTTCTCCCCCTTGTTTTTCGCATAAGCAGTATCTGCCAAGGAAGACCATGACATTCACACAGATTTTAAATATCAGTCCCTGTACCATACATTGTGCCATTACACAAAAATGTCCAACTCCCTTTTGCCAAGTGGTGAATGTTAAATAAAAAGATGAGATGCTACCAAATCGATATTGCACAATGCCAATTTGGAAAGCTACAAGATTGAGATGAACACAAGCAATCAATTACAAAGTACATTTAGTTGAGATTTCAGTAACCTGCAAACAAAGTGTTTTTATATCTAGTTTGTGTATACTTACAGTGGCCTCCACCCATTCCTCCATAGTGATTAGACACCGCGATGAGGTCATAGGTGCACGGAACATCCTGTGTTCCAATCACAAACTCCGACATGTCTAGGTCTCTGCATGCATGACAATAACGGAATTAGCATAATACCCTTAAGTATCATTAACATAAACATATTTTATATTTCCCCCCCTCCTATTTTATTGCAACGGAGCTATTGGCATTATGGCAAGAGCATTTACCCATTTGAAAATGTCAAAGCAGTTCAAACCATGTTCAACCTAGATAATGTCCACATTGTCTTTTTACAGGACTTAAAATGGTATTTTTTTATACTTTACACGGCACAGGGTGAACTTTCCCACTCCTACGAGATTGTTGCATAGCAGAAAAATTAATCACCCAGATAAAATTTAGCAAAAAAAGTCAATGTTAAGATCAGTTATATTTTGTGTTAAATGGTGACTGGGCTGAGGCCATTATATACATTTTCTTGAGAATTCCATTTAATCAAGAGCAGTTGCCTGCATCGGAACCTAGGATATCAGGTGGTACCAGCTCTGCATTGAGATCCAAGTCACCTGACCAAATCATGGCCAAGCACTTAAAATACATCCGAGATCTTAAATAGTAATACAATATCAAAAATTTCATTCCAAGATGATTAAGATATCAGTGGTTTCCAACGCAATTAAATTGTTTTCCATTGCAGTGCAGGTAAAATCCCAAGCAGCTGCATACCTTCCATTAACATAAAAAGTATATGGATTGAAAAATAAAATCTTACCACACAAGATTAAAAGCAATTAAGCATAAGCATCTATTTTAATGCCAATATGCATGACTCTTAACTAGTACTAAACTCAACAGGCATGCATCAAGAGTAAAAGTTGAAGTTTTAGAAAAAAAAACACACATTTGGTGATGCAAAACATTGTGAATTTATAATCAATACAAAACATTCAAATATATGCAGACTTTATAGTAATAGGTTTGTACCCTTTTATCTGGATAAAAGGGTAAAAACCTATTACTATATCTTGCTACTGGCAAAGGAGGTCTCATAGTATATGCAGACTTTAGTTAATCGACAAAATAAGTTTCAGCTGGATCCCTTTCTTTCAGCATGGCCAATTCACTTGGGCCATGCCATGAGCTCATTCTTGAATCTAAGAACAAAATTTATCCAATTGTCGTAGGATGAATCATTACATGCCTACTATCCAATGCACATTTCAAAATGCACGTGTGAGAAAGACAACGAATACAGGCAGCTAAACACGGTGGGGGTCCTCACCGGATAGGGAAGTCCACAAGGGTATCCAACTTGTCCCTCCAGTACTTGTTGTACGAGAAGCGCTTCAGGTGCACCACCAGAACTTTCGGCAATGCCCACAGGTCAAACTTCTTGGTAGCTTGCTTGTGCTTCTTGCAGTTGGGACAGTACCTGGGCAAATACACCACCAATACCCCTAAAGACCTCTGCCCCTAAAGAGTACTTCTGTACTCTTATAAGCGGCCATATCAAGTGACCATGACAACATTTACAACTAGGTGGGACCTATGAATGTTGTCCCGGTTGATCAAACGTCCCAGAAACTTCCTGAAAAATATGTTCAGCAGCTTGGCTTTTCTGGAAAATAAGTGACATTAGTATTGCTTGGAGAGAAAAAAACGTGGATGAAATATCTAGGTCAATCCAAACTCCATTGTAGGGAATTAATTGTGGCTTTACCTGTTGTGTATTATTTATAAAATTAGTATCATCAATAGCAGTGTGACAATGTTTATTCATCATGCCAGTGTACTTATATGCTCAATCGCCAAGTTCATATCATTGAATGTTTCATGTAGACTACTAAAACAAAATAAGCCCCTTTATATTTTGTTCATAACGAGGTCCTGAAGTAATGACAGTACAAGCACAGCAGCAAAAAAAATATACAAATTGAGAGCAGAAGATTAATTTATTTTTAAAAAAGCACTTTAACAATGCAATATTACTCAAGCAAACCAATAAAATCAATTAGAAGGGTTCAGAAGGCATAAAAGCCCACAAAAAAAAACCCTTTAATATTGCCATTTCCAATTGGATGGAGACAAACCCAACTTACATTCCCTGTTTCAATCCTTGGAATACAAAATAATTTATAAAATTGACAAGCATGGCTGGTTCACCGAATGGCAATCACTCATGACCAGAGCAGATTGCACAAATAAAATAAAAAAAACCTATGTCACACCGATGATTTATGTAGGGAATTAGAAAAGAGTGCCATTTGCCTATCAATTGATAAAGTTATACCCTATGATATCAGTCAAGAGGCAGCCATTAGGTTTACAGGTCATTGCTTAAATTCGAAATTATTAAATATGAGCAGAAAGCCTGCAATCCCTCAGGCAAATGTCACTCAATAAAGTAATATCTTCTGTCCATTGTGGCTAACAGACGGTGGGGGACATTGCAGAATAAAATACACGTACGTATATTTCGATAAACTCCCTACGTAATAAGACATGGTCTTTTGCAAGCCGATAATAAATACCAACTGGCTCTCAGAGGAAGTAATGCATCTTAAATCTGGTTTACTTGATACTTGGAATGTGTACTGGTTTGCTCGTGGGATAGTTACCATGGATCCGTGGCTGCCAGTTCCTCCTTGGTCGTGAACAGCTCGATGCATTCCTTAAGCTTCACTGGGTTCTTCTTCTTCAACGGCTGTGCTAGCATGCTGTCATGTTTTTCAAATTCCTGCTCGCACACCACACGCCAAATATTACATTAGAGTACAATTCGGATATGTACAGCATATAAGTTTCACTGACTCCGATTAGCACGGTCGACTACTATGCACGCTATGAAAGAAACTACACGTACACACTGCATTTCAAGATTCTGTACAGAAGAGCTATGCATCATAAAAACACTGACGGCATGAATCAACTGTGTAATGGATTATATATTTATGCGGAATAGAAAATGCCTTCGGAGCTGCAAAATTTAGTCACCTTGAAGGCAAGGGGATAGTTTAACATGCAATAAATATTACCTTATCCACATTGTTGTTGTAAAATCGTGCTCTCGTCTCAGAATCCCATTCTAAAGCCAGATAGGTTCTCGCTGCAATGCAAGATAAGACAAAACAATTAGACAAGGGCGGGAGGGTGGTGCAATGGTAGCACTTGTGCCTCCCAGCAAGAAGTCCCTGGGTTAGATTCCCCACTCGGATGTCCGTGAGCGCATGGGTTTCCCCCCCAGTGTCTAAAAAAACCCACAACCTATATGCAATTTTTTTTTAAGACATTAGGATTAGACATCAGAATATTATCCCTGCTGTAAAAACTTGGCAAGATCCTCTTGAATGAGAATCATGAAACTCTCAAGGCGTCCCCAGGTAAAGAGACGTACGTTATAAAAATATAATTATTAGTTACTTTTGCATTGATAAATGTGATATGCCTACAAAAACAACGGATCAAACGATCACGCTTGCATTGCCCCATGATCTTACTTCGGCGCTTACCATTCAACATGCATCTGCAATGCATCACCACACCCAACTATATCTGAATGCAATACACCTATGTAAATGTGAAGGTGGAACGAGTTAATAAATAAAACAGTTTCTAGCCTGTTGGACAAATAGGGCCAAATAAGTATCAATTGACGGCCAGGTGCCTGGAATAATAGAACAGTTCTTACCATCATTTAAAAAGCCGATTATTAGTGCATTGGAATCTAAGCAAAGGAAATTATACACACACGGTATGCTTAATATCAAGTACTGCATACAAGACCATAAAGCATGACCACTGATTATTCCATGTATATATACACACAGCCCTTTGTCAAACCATTTATAAATAAGGACCACCCCACACCATGGAGGTCGTGGGGGTTATAACAGCCATCCTTCCCATGCTGGTCAGTTCCAATTTTTGAAGGCAGGGAACATAGATGTACAATCGATTTAGCTGTATTGTCCTCTGCTGTCCACCGTGTAGCCCCGTAGCCGATAACGACCCATCTGTGCATGGTGGTGACCGAGTAAAGCACTATCCAGTCCAAATCCAGGTTATTTTCAGGACATATGGTTATATTGGATAGACTCTGGGTCATTTGGTCATAGGCGTGTGTGCACGTAAAATTTTATCAGCATGTTTGTATTTGTGCATGTGTTATTTAAATGAATCTGTGTGTGGGTGGATTTGGTCATAGACCCGACGATGCCATCCATCTGAAAATGTATGTCCTCACTGGCACCTTGGAACTTGATGGGCTTGCCGTCGTCTGTGATGGCGTGGTTCTCTGTGTTGCCATAGGAGTTGACGGGGTGGATGCTGAAGAGGGGCCGTCGCTTGTGTCCGCATCGCTGCCCTTTTCCGCCCAGCTGCGACTCATCAGCACAGCCCTCGCCGTCTCCCCTCTCCCCCCGCTCGGGAGACGCCTCCGTGTCAGAGTCTCCGTCGACCGTGCTTACTGCTGTGTACGTTGGCACCGCCCTTGTGCTATCCTTGGGTCTGGATGGTACTATCTGCTGGTCCGCATCACTCTCCGACTCGGAAGCAAGCTCCTGCTCCGGGTCTCCCGTGACTGTACTTGAAGGAACGTCCTGATTGGACGTGTCATCCTCCATGTGTTCCGAGCCTGCCGGCAGACAAAAAAAAAAAAACTAATTTTTTAAAACAAAGTTGAATTATTTCCAGAAATGTTGAGATGGAGATGGCCGTGTCGGGGTTCAGTTAATTTAGTAAGATTCTATGTGATAATTAAATAATTTTCATTTGACTGCCATGCAACGAATATCTGTGGTAGGGCTTGTAGAAAAGGGTAGCATGGCCATTTTGGATAAAGTCACATGCAGACACCTCAAAAGCAGTTCTGCGATATCTTTGGTGGGCTGCCATCTAATATGAGGTGATGCATCATTCTGCAAGAGTTCTGAAGGGATGTATGTTAATTTCATTATATGATGCAGATGGCACAATTGTAATAACATTTTCAAAAATAAAGAAATGTCAAGCGATCTTAATAGTTCCTGCATGCTTAGATTTCAATGTTTTTTTGCACATCACCAAAACATGCCATCCTATGGAAGATTAAAAAAAGTCAAAGCTCACCATTGCATTTGTAGTTGTGGGGGTAGTGTGTGCCATTCTGCTCCTGATGTCCATGATCTTCCTCCTCGTCATCTGGTTTTCTAATGTGGCGCCTGCAAGCAAAAGAAAACGGGAACTTGGAAAATCCCATTGACAGCATTTCACAGAGACATTGGTCAGAAAGCTTCCAGTACCATTTCCACTGGAAGGTAAATTTAAAAGATAAGTCAAATGTTTAACCAACAGAAGTGCCAGGTGGTTCAGAGGCCAGAGCACCGAGATCCTGGGTTCAAATCCAAGGAGCTGCCCGTAATTCAGAATATTTACTGGAGGAACGCAATGAGCTAGAAGCCCTTTCACACATGTACAGTAAACCAGTTTCTACAATTACAGCTTTGGGAGATCAAAATATGAGTTTGTGTTCATGAACCCATACCGATTATCGTGAAAGTATGGTCAAATAACCCCCACAACCTCTACGGAATGGGGGGGGGGGGCACCTCAAACAGCTGTAGGTTAAAAAAGGGGCAGTGTCTATGCTAATTAATAGAAACCGTACATGGCAAAATACAAACATTGTTGCATTCACTTATATGAAAATATATGAAAATCTCCCACAGTTTAATATGATGAGGTGGTCCATGACTCGGTGATGGCAGCATCTAAATTACACGCAACGTAAATATTTAATTGCACTGAACGGATGTCTAAATTACACAACTCATAGTAGTTTAAAATAATTTACAGCCGTTTTGTCAACCCACTGGTGGATGAAAGCTGCCCCATAATCAGTGGTCATGCAGGTTGTTTGGCCATACTTCACCACGCTGGATTAATTTGAGTTGGCGCAGGTGGGGCTCAGAACCCGTTCGAGATATCACTCGCTATCGATTTTAGCCATGGGAATCGCTAGGAATTATGGTGGCAGCACGCAAACTACTACACCGGGTCAATTGGTAATTTGTCTACAAATCACCCCTGTAATTTGTCATTTTAATCTTTATTTGCCCACATTTGCTGGCGGGGCATTGGCCAAACCAACCTAAATGAAGGACCTGGCCTGAAAAAAACATCTTTTCTGACCAAGTTTGGCTCTCTCCACCACCTCACCCAGACCTCACCCCCCCTCCCCCTCCAAATGTTGTGCGCCACTCACTCCATGCATTGAGTGAGGTGCTCATAGAGCCCCTCCAGGGTGGTGGTGCTGCGCGGCACAGACACGAGTAGCGGCAGCCCGAAGAGCGACGTGCTGGCGCAGCTCGAACTGTAGCCGCTGCGTGACGTCTTGCGCTCTCGCATGTACACGGCCACGTGCACGTGGTCGGGGGCTGTGTCCTCGTCCGCCACCTCGAATCTGAGAACACACAAATAGAAAGCTCAACACAAGCAACCGCTCTGAGCGTGTGGATTTCACAGCCACTTATATTCTAAATTAATAGACTTCAACTCCTTCAAGATGCCAGCCAAGTTAGTGCAGGGAGCGAATGCTTGAGGGAAGGAATGGATCAATGCGTAGCCTAACCCAGTAGACCAATTTCAGTCAACTTTTGATTATGTGGGGTGGGGGGAGATGGGGCTGGCCTAGATAAAACAAAAACAGATAATGCAAAACTTGTATTAAGGCTATAAAATGTGTAATTGTTTGCCTATAATTTATTATCTGTGTTTATTGCTATTTGTAGCAATTCGCTTACTTTGCCGACATGTTTATGGTCATGTGGGCACCCATTTATGGAACCTCAATGCGCGACAAGGGGCATGTAATAATCAGTATGCACATAAAATGTTATGGATATATTATCATTTTCACAAGCTCAGTTAATCTGCAACTGAAATAATCAATAATTACCTACACAGGTGATGGCAATTTGCAATTAAAAAAACGCACATTTACTTGCACATTATTTTTCCTAAAACAAAATACCCTTGAGTATGCCTGATCAGATCTTCACAAGTAAGTAGGATTGAGCCTGTACAGTACTTGCATTGCAAAATGCATGGGAATATCAGGTGATGTAATTAAGGGCAGTGAAGTAGCAGTACAGCAATGGATTTTTGAATGTCCGTTTACCCGCTTGTATGAGAGGTTCTCTCCAGGTACTACAGTTTCCTCCTAAATGCTCATTAAATAAACTGGTCAAACATCCCATTGCAAGATTTCTCAAAACAGATCTTCGTGACTTTGTAGGCTATTTGAGAAAAAGACATTAGATTATAGAAATGTTTGTGTGCATCAAATGTATCACAATAAACGTTTTTGGGTTAGATCGCGTTATTTATAAATGTGTCGTAACCCTCCACCACCCGACACAGCCAATCAGCAAAAAAGTGTCACGTTGACAAAAGACAAATAGTTCACTACTTTAGCCCACCGGTGAGTTGAAGAGTGAATCCACAACATTTACAGTTTGAGTACGACGTTTCGCTAGTAATTACATCCAGCATAAAATTAACACTACATTTTCAAAGCTCTATTCTAAAACATCATAATTCTACGTAACTGCTGCTACCAACATATTAACTGATGGTGAAGTCAATGTCTTCTACATAGATTTAGAAACGTGTTAAAATTTGGGGTATAGGTTTCCCGTATTATTAAGATTTGTAGATAGCAGGCTTGTACTAGTGCATATTCTCTCACTTATGGTACATGCATATTAGTGTACATGTGAGAACCAAGTGCGATTTATTAAAAATGTCATGCCAATGTGGATTTAGGTTGAGAGAACAAAACTGATTATAATTTCACTTGGAGGGGGGGTGCGGAAGTAACAAAGCGAACAGCTACTTTAATACGGATATTTTAAAAAACGAAGTATTATATTTTTCATACAAGCATTAAAAATAATTAGATCACAAGCTGCTGTTACTAAAATAATAGTTCAGTTATTTGGGTATATTATTTCAATTCTTCTACATTTTACAAAAAAAACTGAAACACTACTCAAAGGTGGTACTGGGTCCTTGGGTAAAAGTACATTTGAAAAACTCACACAAAGATGTCGTCTCGATCATTGATGCCATTTAGAGGCTCGTTCATAGTGAAGATTTTGTGGAAACGATGATTGTACACGTCTGTTACTACCATCTGAAACGAGACCGTAAACACAGTAATTAATGCTCAGAAACACAGCATGGAAAACAGATTCCATAAAAAAGTATATTGCATTATGATATTAACAAATGACAAGCATGGGAATAGGTTTTCCCCCTTTTTCTCGCAACAAAAGCAGGTGTTAGGATGTTAAAACACCAAACTAAAACCTTTTACAAGGAATCATGTCTGCATTAACCACAGTACTTGTGGTCAAAATGCAAACAAAAAACTCCGATAATATGATGCATTGTCTTTGAAACCGATTGGTGTTAGACCAGAGGACGCCTTTTGGCGTCCTCTGGTCTAACACCGTTTGAGACAAGGCTCAAAAGAAAGCTGTCTCTGGTGCGGACCAATCAGTTTCAAAGACAATGCATATATTACCAGAGTATGTTTTTTGTTTGCATTCTGACAAGTAACGTGGTTAATGCAGACATGATTCCTTGTAAAAGGTTTATGTTTGGTGTTTTAACATCTTAACACCTGTCTTTGTTGCCAGAAAAAAGGGGAAAACTTATGCTCATAATTTGGTACTGGCAAAGGAGGTCCCATGAAATGACAAGCAAATTAACCTTCAACAGCTGACTAGCACTGCAATAATTATCAGAGGAAGGTCTCAAACTATGCTGCCTTCAAGTTTCAAACCCTTGAAGAATATTTATTATTCATGACAGCACACCGCCTCACTTTTCACAATCATTCAATTGTTATGCCGAGCAGAGCTGTCTTATTAGCTCAGATGTTACGATTACAGAGTTACAAAGTTCACGTACAATACAGTCACGCCATTATGCATACAGCTGTTCTCAGGGTCTCACGTTTTCCTTTGGGACATCAGCGAGCAGGCCCAATGCAGCACAAAGGTCGGAGACAGAGCCCATCTTGGGCACCACCACTCTGTACTGCACAACAATAGATACAAATCCATTACACAAACATCAGACGGTAGATAACAAGTACTCCTAGTAGGAGCCATCTCGTGGGTCTTATGAAGATTACATGCCACTGACAAAATCAGCTGGCAAGTGGCCATCTCCAATCTTGAAAGTGGAACAAGGTTGAGCTTTGATATTGCATAGATGAATGACCACCATGCACTAACATGTTGTCAGAGCTTGCGGGGCTAAGTGGTGTGCAGTGCAACAATATATTGTTGTACTTTATTTTCATGTCTATGTTCCCTGCCTTCACGAACCCGCACAGTGAAATAAGATCAACCCCCTCAAGACACCAAGTATGAAGTGGCCCTCATCCAGCTGTGGATGAGGACTGTTTATGCAGGTGTGAGAACACGTCACATGGGCCACAAAAATGCTTCCCCCATCAGGCGAGCCTACCATGGTAGGCTTGGACTTGGGGTCTTGCCAAACGAGTGTGACCTCCACAGCCCGCTCCGTCTTGATGGGCAACGGCAGGGTGAGGTAGCAGAAGGGGTCGAAGGTCACAGAGACCTTGGCGCAATCGGGGCAAATGAGTGTCGACTTAAAGAGGCCGTGGAAGATGTCTACGATGATGGAGTCGTTCCGCTTACGGTGATTGTCCCATGCCTCTTGCGCCACAACCTGCAAGTGACATTTTAATGGTTAAATTCACAGAAGTATTACACCGGACGTCATCGTCTCGTGATTTTAGTTTGAATAATTATACATTAAGAGGATGAAAAGTCACATGTAATTGTATAATTGGCATATATTCATCCACAAACTCCTCAATAACTAAAAAATTCTTCCAGTTACTCAACTGGAATATTTGGCCACTTGCTTTTAAGTCTTTTTTCGCAGAAAGAAGCTGGAGCACCTGGAGAAACTCGTGCATACAAGTAGATAACACGAAAAGGGCCTAGATAGATGGGTGCACAAACCTACTTTCTAAGTTTTAGAAGTTTGTATGAGCCATCAAACCTTGCAGTCCATAGGCAGAATGTGGTTATCACGGGAGGTAGAAAATGTTCAGCGATACCATTTTCCGTACAAAATTAATCAAACTGATTATGTAAAACTATTCTTAAATAAGGTCGTCATACAATTAACTTTGTTCGCAATTTAAAGATGCTGGCACATTAAGCATCTTTAACTCGTAAAATTAAGTATTGGATTATTTACTAAAAACACACAAAAGGTACTGGAGGATTAAAGGCATGCACCACCATTCCCATCGTATAAAATATGCCAGGAAGGATACAGTTGATCACAAATTCATAATAACATACACCATTTAAAGCTTTCGTGACTGCAAGGAAGCTTTCGTGACTGCAAGGATTCATATTCTTTGGTTCTTTCGGTAAAGTCACGTAGAATGAGAATAAAGTAATAAATTGATAAAATAGCACAATAATATTCTCACGACGTTTCGGCCACAACACAAGCGGCCTTCATCAGATGAAGGGACGAGACTGTCTGGAGGACAGCGCTGTCCTCCAGACAGTCTCGTCCCTTCATCTGATGAAGGCCGCTTGTGTTGTGGCCGAAACGTCGTGAGAATATTATTGTGTGTTATTTTATTTTATCAATTTATTATTTTATTCTCATTCTACTTGACTTTACCAAAAGAACCAAAGAATAACATACACCATTTTGTCATATTCACTCATGAAGGTAAATTGCACTAAATACCTTGTTTATAATTCTACTGGTATTTACATAAAGATGCACATACCAGAAGTGTTATGCATGTTGCTATAAACCTTTTCACCTATGCGTGGCTTTCGGTGGTTCTGCCCTCAGTATTCATCTAAATCACCATCCAATCTCGTAAAGGATATCTGAAATATAACCAATTACCCTTCTCATTATACAAAGCTTTAAAAAAGGCTGCTATAAAAAACTGAAAAAGCTTTAAACATGGCATGTTGATTTCTATTGCTAAAAGAGATGAGTCGGCGTTTGAGACTTACGATCGAGTGTAAGCAAATGAGGAAATATACCAGAGAACGCATCCATTGCATGGATGGAGTGATGCAATTATGTTATCTAGCACGAGCTAGATGGATTGTTTCACTTCGAGACCGAGATGGTGAAAGCTTGGGGGAGACCCTTTGCTGCAGCAGTGGATAGACCATGGCTGATCTTAATACCTCATTCGTTTATTTTATCACATCTAGGCACTTCCATCACACCTGTAACTTTAAAAGCAGCCAAGTTATTTGTATAGCCCCGAAACAGACCCAGAATAATATGCTGAGAATCACGAGGGTATGCTATCCATTATATAAATATAGCATTCTTTTGGAAGTTACTATGGGACAGATTAATTAAATAAGATGTGAATCGTGATTATTTATTTACCAGCCGAGTAAACGGACAAAACCTAGAAACCCACATGTGGCATGTAACCGGGTGGGGGCCACACCTACCTTGTCATCTCGGCCCTCTGCATCCTTGAGCTCCACATAGGGCTTTTTGCGGATGCGGTTGAGATCTTCGTGAAGGCCATCCAAGAGGAAGGCCAGCAGCTCCTGCGAGTCCTGCTGCTGGTACCCGGAGAACTGTGGAGCAAAGCGGCCTACCTGCGTCTGCATCACACACACATAAAGACAAAGACCCCCCCCCCGTATAGCCTTAGACTGTTGGGACAAGTGCTGTTCGCGAGCACTTTGGAGCTATGTAGCTCTTTTTCAGAAGCAACCTCACCACAAATGATAGCTCAACAAAGTGGCTTAAAATGTGGAAATGAATAATACTCTAAATTTATGTTGATTCTAAATGTGGAGAGAAAAACTGGAGGGATCCAGAGAAAAATTCACGCGACCACAGAGAGAACATGCAAACTCCACATAAATAGGCATCAGGATCGAACCCACAACATCCCGTATACCAGGCAAGGTAGTTAACGTCGCCACCGTGGCACTGCCCCATGATTGTGTGCCCAAGGTTGTCCAACATTTTAATATTGATGAATGACAAAAAATACTTTTAAATCACAGGCAAGCAAGCCTCAAAATAGCACTCAGCGATGCCACCGATGGCACATGTGTTCGTTCAAATACAATGTCAATCAGGAAATATAATGAAGCACAATGACACAGCAGGCCTCAAATAGAAATCTAAGATTATTTTCTCAATTAGGATTCAAACACGTGGACAGCCAAGAACAGAGCCTAGCTACGCATCCCTACTGGGCATATCAAACCATGATTCAACTTAAGAAACATGTATTTTATTTTATTTAAATGACCTAATTGCATACAAATCATAATTGTTTCTTACATACATATGTTGCATTGCAAGCAAGAGATCATTTACAAGTGAGGAACCAATGCACTGACATGACAAGCATCTCATGTAGACAACTTGCTTTTTTGGACTTCATCTGAAAGAAAAAGAGTGGCACCTCCCAAGAGAGTAACCGCAGCACAAGCCTCTCTTGAATCGCAATTAAGGCAGACCGACCTTGAAGGAGCGTGGCACGGTGGACGAGTAGCTCCCAGACCACATCTGCTTGATAAGATCGGCGTAGGCACAGGCGATCTCACCACGCATGCCCAGCGGGTTGTCACGGTTGAGCTCCTTCAGATATGCATCCTCCAGGAAGTAGGTGGTGAGAGGTGGCGTGTTGCTCAAGCACTGCAAACAGATATATAAAAGATATATATAATAGCTGCAACTTTCTACAAATGTTAGTTATATTCTTAAGTTTTGGCTGTAATAAGGGTGCCAATATAGTTGTTTTATTGTACATGTACAGGCCATTGTCAATCCACTGCTGGATGAAGGCTTTTCCCATGCCATACAGATCATGGGTATCATTGTTACTCTATTTCACCACACTGGCCCATGCGGGCCTGGGTAGTTGCCTGTCCCAAGTACAATCAGGGATTTAACATGCATTACAATAAATTTGGTCAGAGGCTTATTTTTTTAGCAAAAGACATTGGTTCAATGATTCAGAGCTAAAAAAAAAAAATCTTATTAAAAGCAGTAGTTCCATTGGTTATCAATCATAGGTTTAATAGATACATGTTATTTAATAAAGTGCATTAATAAAAAAAATAACTGATAAGCACGTGTTTTTTTTTTAGAGTCAAGAAAATTCAGGCCTATCCTCTAGATCCACTTCCATATAAACGTTTTTGCGTTCCACCTATGTTTATATCACGACCTCCCTTGTGAATGTGTGCACTTTCACTTACTTGCAAAGCAGAATTCATGAAGCAAGTATTCCCCAGGTTGCTGAGGCCACAAAGACCCGGCGTGCTTGTTCCACCGCGCCCGCTGTACGAGTTGTAGCTCGAGTTGTAGTTGTTGCTACTACTGCTGCTCGAGCTGCAAATGGCAAAGCAGCCATGCCAAACATCAATAAACTAGCCCTGTGCCAAGATGGGGAAAATATTCCATCTATTTTAAACACGCAATAACCTTGAAAGATAATACCAACACAAAACTCTGCTCAAGTTTGCTCAGCCACAAAAGTTACAGGGCACCAAGTTCAAGTGACTTGGATTTTTATAAAAGATATGTTTATATTTCAGGAAATCAAAAAGGATTTTTTTTTTCAGCCAACTATATCTGGCCCTAGAATATAGTAATAATAAAAGAGCTGACCATATGCTGATGGAAAAAACTAGAACAATGAATATGGTGAAAAGTGTAGAGGTGACTTCACTTTTAATATTGATTTGAAGCTTTTGTAGGTCCCTATAAATAGGTTAACCAAAGGGTTTTCTCAATACAATACAATACTCTGCTTGGCAGGATGCACGTAAATAATTGTATTTAACTATTAAGAATAAAAGTAGAGCTTGCCAGGTAATAGTCATACATAGATATACTTCATACAGAACCAGTTTCCACTGGATGTTAAAACAAAGCTGTTTTGGAAACTGACTGTCTAATAACTTGGCAGCTTGTCATATTTATGTTACAGATTTTGGGCCAATGCAATGTAGTCAGAATAAACTAGCTACTGCGGATAGGCAATGTGAACACTCGCACCCAAAATACCAACAGCCATTAAGGCAGGCAAGACGCATGAAATAGTGCAGCACCACACCAGCCCACATCTGTCTCCACAATGCTGACTTAGTGTTGACTACTGGTCATTAAAAGCCGAATCACCCTAGGTGAGGCCCAGTACCAACTGAGATCACTGGGTGTGAAATTCATTTTGCGCATTCATAACGTTCTACTAACCACCACTGGGCAACCACTCCCGATACCCTAACTGATGCACTTACGTACTCACTTTTACATGGACACACACCCATGTCGTCCATGTCAATGATATCACTCGAGCACATTGGTTTGATGCCAATGCTGTGACAACGTTTTGGAGCAACCCTAAAAATGGTTTTCGCATGATAACACATTTAATTTTCCAAAGCCGATTTTCAAAGTTTCTGATTTAACTAAAAATCTTTAAAACATCCAGTGTGTGTACACCAATTAGTATTTGGCATTTAATCCATTGCAATGGACAATGGCACACAGATGATGTTGCACTGCTATGGGCATGGCCTTGAAAATTTTTCTAAACACAAAGGAAAGCCTGGTTTACGCGAAACCAGAAGTGTGCCATTTTTTTGGACACAAGCCAGGTTTAGAATCTCATAACTCCCCCCGCGGGCCGAGGAGGGTCACATTGACAGAGAGAACTTCGAGAACGTGACATCACATTAGCAAGGGAATGACGTAATATTTCACAAACATACGTGGACGTGGTCGCGTGTTCACGGCAAACAGCCCGCCGAGTTGTTCAACAAACGTACGCGTACCCGTTGCACACGCGAGCCACTCAAAAGCACAATGCGGGCTCCGAACAACCCACGGGCCGTAAGGGTGCACAAACACACATCTGCTCTAGACAGTACAACTTCACGAATACATTAATGCAGAACATGTTTCATGCAGGAGGGGGAAGCTGGAGGTTAGTAGAATGTTAAAGGTTATACAATTGGATGGCAAAACGGTTTGTAAATTCAAAGCCTGAATTTTTCCCAAAGGGTACATTAAGAAGAAAAAAAAGTTAGTTGCATGCTGCCATATGGTACAGAACAAAAAAAACAAAAACATGAATTTATTAATGGGCAGACTGTATATATCAGATGAAGAAATAGAATTCAGCATCAATTATTCAGCAATAAAGTGAGTAAATATAGTAAAAAGTTGAACAGAATAAAAAAAGCTTAGGTGTCCTAAATTTGGGGTGTTGAAACTTGATTTTAATTTTAACTCCGCAAAACAAGATTCCCTGTCCAAAAACAAAAGCAGTCTAATAATGAATCATGCGTTCTGCTAAAAATAACAGATGCCAGTCCGGCGGGTACTGCATGCGTTTTATTTGGCAGGGTCAACTGACGCGCACGGCAGGGTTTACTGACACTCGGGCTGACGAGAATCTGGCCGTGAGAGCCGAGGTAGTCTGGGGAGGAGGAGGAGGTGGGATAGAGGGGGTGGGCACAGAGGGAGAAGAGGAGGGCTTTGGCGACGGGGTGTCGTTCTCAGTTGCGTCGGCACTATCTGATCTATGGAAAGGAGGGGGAGCAAAATGGGCAGGAAAACACAAAACCAAGGTGAACTGAAAGCAAGACAGCAAAGCAAAGATACACTCAGAAAGAAAGACGAAGCAGCCACAGGTGGCCCGATAGCTTGTTGAGAACAGGAGTGCCGAGTCTTATTCGGCAGAGAGGTTAGCCAATGTCAGTGCTAAACCGATTACATCATAAGCGGATTTGAATTCTGCCAAGATCACTACCTTAATGAATCACACGTTTTGGTTGACTGAGAGCCACAACATAATTTTAAACAGCATCAAAGCAAATATGACAAAAAAGGTATTCACTTACAATCCATTTCAACAATACCATTAAGACTTGAACTTCAAATCACCAAAAAATATGATGGAATTGTGAACAAATACAAATTGCACCACATTGTGTCAACAGGCTGGATTTTTTTTGTCTCCGGTGCAGTCAGAGGTCATCTGACAGAAACAGCTCTTTAGCCACCTGTTTTATGGATATTTAAAACGCTTGCAATCATCAACGAATTACAAAAAATTGCATGATATTAATTAGAATACCACAAAACCCCAATATGACCTTATAAACAAACATTTACAAGTGACAGAAACCAGCACAAGTTCCTTCATGCAGCAGTACAGTGCAGTGTGGCCCAGTTACCCTGCAACAGGAACCCTAACGGCAGCATTCCTGTGGACTCCTATATTAATAACAAAATACAAAACAAGCAGGTTATCGTTGCTTTCTTGCCCGGGTGGGGTGGGAAACAAACCAATAATAAGACCTAAACCCAATGTTAAATTATTATTAACATACTTGGTAGTAGGCGATTGTCTTGGCCAAGTTCCATCTTCATTTTTCTGTTCTATTACCAAAACCTGCAAACAGGGCGATAGTGTCGTAAAAAAGGAGTTGCAAAACCATGCAGACCTGTCCCTAGGGAAACATTACGTCCCATCAATACGAAGAATTGAATTGCCATATAATATGCATAAGAATAGTAATCAACAGCCCTTTGTTAAATCAACTGCTAGATGAAGGCCTTGGGGAACATATGACCATAATTCTAATGTTGGACCATGAAGGTTGGTGAAGAGGGGAGAGTGGAAGGTGAATAGGGCCAATTCTGATGTTAATCATAACTCATGTTAGCCATTGGCAGAAGTCAAACTCGGGTCGTCAGATTATAACCTAGTGTTGCTTACCATTTTAGTCACTGCTTCTGACAATTATAGAGGGTTTAAAATCCATGCTTTCCAACAATGATATTTCTGAAAAACATAGACACCAAAAACGACACGCTGCTTCTGTACCTGCCCCTGGAAGAGTCCCACATCCTGGAGGGTCTTTTCGGGTTTGTTGAGGGGCTCGTACGTGTTGGTCATATATTTGTTCCACAATCGTGTCTCTTTCTCTTCAGGGATATGAAACAACTTCCTCATTTCCTTCTCTATGGTGTCTGCGCACAAACACAAAAATAGCCACAGGCAAATGACTGTTAAGCAAGCATCAAATTAGGTTTTTTTTCCACAGATTAATCAAACAATAGCACACATCCATAACTAGCCCTGCCTTGCCCAGCAGTGAGAAGTTAAAGGTTGACAACTAGGCCCTCCAAAACAGTATCAGAATATGTGTTTATACTGGAGGAATCCGATGAGTTATAAAGCTACTTCCACAGATATCCGGTAGGGGCGGGTAAGACGGTATACATTATATGAGGCTTCACTTTAAACAGTGACAAACTGGCTTTAAAAATCACAAAAAAAACTCAAATGTTCTTTTACAACACCAAAATATCTCCATATATGCTTACCAATGGTATCCGCCTTGCTGAACTGCCAGTTCACCACCGTATCCAGGTTGCTGTTGTCACAAAGCCTAAGCTCAGTGAGGTACACCTCTACCTTGCAGTGCTTGACAAACATACCATATTCTATTACCTGCCAAGGGGATAAGACACACAATTGACAACATATTATAACATTATCCACTGGATCAGTTTACTCAAAATAATCTTCGTAGTGCAGCTTTCCGAGATTGCCACCGTGTGGCACCTAATTGTGCGTTTGAAGGGGAGAGATTGATAAAGAGTTATGAGGAATGGAGCTTGATAAAACACTGCACTTAGATGATGCAGTGGTTAAAACTTATATAAGAATGTCAAATAATGTCAAGTAAGTGAGTAAACAATTCATAAATATTCAAATCGATAACTTAAACACTTAATATTTCAGAAACTATTTAATGATTCATTATTAATTACAATTTTGTCTCGCAGAAATTTATGGTAATTTAAAGACATCATGCCAGTAGCACTTTAAAAAGTTCAATGCAATGTAACTATTCAACTCATTCAGAATGGTAATTTATTGCTTTGTGTGGAATGAATTGGGGAGCTGCTAATACCTTCCTTTCGACGGGCTCTTGGTCAGCTGTATAGCCATACCATTCCACCAACTTCCTCCAAGCCTCTGTGGGCACCAGAATGTAATCCAGCTCATCGATCAAATTATCCTTAAGCCCCTCCAAGTTCTCGTCTGGGCCAACTGAGCACACGCATTGGGAAGAAAAAAAAGCATGACAAAGCAGCACATGCGCCGTTTCATACTTCGAATAGAAAGGAGTTTGAAATATTATATAATTACAGTTGCAAGCTGGATTCAACACCTTATTAAATCAATCAATATGCACGTTTGTACCGTGGCTTGCTCGGGCATGTAGAACTATGCACTACCTTTGAAGAGACCAGAGTTGTCGATGGGGCCTGGATAGGTGCTCTGGTCAGCTGCAGAGTAGACTTCCCAGCTGTCAAATCCCACATGCTTCTTCCACTGTTTGAACCAATGGCAGTCAACCAGGTACCTAAAAACGGGAAAATCAATTCCTTCAGCAGATATCACAAAAGTCAAGCCTAATAAAGCACACAAGCTCTTCTAGCAATTAAATTGTCAGGATTCAAGGTCACACTTGAAATGGCAAATAAATAACTTTTTGCCATTGTGGGGCATAAGGTACCTACATATATATGACCTGCAAATAAATGCACGATCTCTTCAGTGTAAGAAATTATATTAATAGACTAATTCATTGTTACATGGCTAATAAGACCCAATATATTTTTACTATTTGAAACAAAATCGTATGTTGAATGGAAAGGGGCAAGTCCATAATAATTCAGGTGATACATCAATCAGTCCAGGGTGCTTGTTTCACTAACCCGTGCGGACCACACAACTTCCGTGATTTAAAGGCCTTCATCCAGCAATGACTTGCCAAAAGGGCTTAGGTGATTTAACTTGTAACTACTAGGAGTAAGTGATCAAACCTATACTACTAGTGCCCATAAAACGCTAATTAAATTTTATAGCTTTCTGACTGGACATGTGAAAAAGCACTTCATATCGCATGGGATTTCTGAACGATCAATAAAGATACTGATTCAAACTGAATGGACCTTTGGTAAATGTAGGCTTAAGGTTACATAATATGGCAAGATAGAGCAAAATCTCTGACACTTTGCTCTTTACGAAAAAAAGTGGAATTCCTATTTATGGGTCCAGCTGCTTAACAGTTGTGTGCCTTCCATCACCAGGAAAAGAATGAAGGCAGCCCTAGAGCTACCACATTACAGAATTTCATAACTAAACTACAGTATTGGTTTAAAGCTATGAGAGCACAAGTTCTGATAAGTCACAATGGGAGGACAAGGAAGCACAATGAAATATAAAAATCAGCTTAGAGTTCCCAACAACAAAGTACTTGAACAAGTTAAGACAGGTATTATGTATGTACCTTAAACTGGCCTTCGTGGGCTAAAAGAAGCAATCCTTTTAGAAAATGACCCAGAATGTTAAATATTTCACAAGTGCAAGAGTATGTACTTTGTGATCAACCCTCATTTCAACACACCACGACGGTATTGTTTCGCACATCCGAATTGTTTAAAACTGTTGTCCTTTAAATGCAGTGAAGTGTTTATTTTTGACGCAGGGTGGCGAGGCGGATAGTGTACTGGATGGTATCACGGTCATCTTCCGGTGCCAAAAGCAGCATAAAATTGTAACCCAAGGGCCCACACATTTGTCAAAAATAAACCCTATGTATCCAACGCCCTGCAAACGCTACTACATAAACCTTATCAATCCCATTATTCAATATGTATACAATCACCAACTTTCCACCAAGTACAGTATACAGTACGAGAATTTAAAAAGGGCCCCATGAGCAAATTGTACATTTGGTCACTTAAAGTTTCCAAAAGGCTTCTCGTTTAAACAGCTCACTCGTGTTCGTGACTCATTTCAGTATTTTCGCAATAGCCTGTTGATTAGAGCGGTCTGCGATTGGATGGAATGTTGTCACAAGTTGATTGTCACGTTCAATGCATTCCGAATGCGTAAACCTTAAACAGTATAATATAGGGTCGCGATTTGAACACGTATCTAAAGACGGAAGTGACTCAAGTATTATAGATTAAAAAAAAGCTTTTTTTTATAAACTACAAGTGACATGAAAAAGGCAGCAACACCGTGGATGGTAGATTAAAAAAATAATGCCACGAGGCAACAATAAACTGTCACCAAAGTTAGTCACTCACTGTACGTAGACGTTAAACACCGGTACAACGCAGCCAAATAAGGCGTCCCTCCCTAGGCTTTGGCTGCCACGGGGCCAGGAGGATATGGCAATACAAGACTTAAGACAGGATTATTTAAATCCATCTGTGCGGAGCTTTGATCACTATCCAACCACCACACATCCTCTGTCGTTGTATGCGTCGTCGATTCTCCCCGGGTACTCGGGTACGGGGAAGCGAAACGCCACTCATTAACGCAATTCATGGCCAAATGTCACAAACGTGGCAGGACCCCCTTGACAATAAGTCTTGAGACTGGGCGGAGCCTTTCCATGGTCAAAGGCAGTGGTACGCCTATCTATATATAAAAAATATACTATAAAACTTGCGCTTTCAAGGTCTACATTCTTTAGAGCTTTACGCGTGCCACTTTTACACGTTTCCCGGTAACCCCAACCCCTATATACCGGGTAGAACATATAACATAAAAAGTATCATGCGATCAATAACACCTTTCTCAAAACTCGTTTTTGTTCCTATGTATTTTTTTGTAAAATCTTAAAACATCTCAAGCACTCTTGGAACAAGGCGGATGGGTGAACCTCCCCCCCCAGCCCATCCCCTCCGCCAGCCTCGTCAAGACAGCCGCCGGCTGGAGGCCTCAACACTCCCGGCTAGTGGCACGACACGGGCAAAATCCACAGCTTCGTCACTTCATCATCATCATCAGGAGGAGGAGGAGGAGGCCGCGGTCAATCCACTGCTGGATGAAGATCTCTCCCCCTCCCCACCAACAAACCGCCTCACGTGCGCGTGAATAAGCCCACGGTTTAAACACCGCAACCGTTAAAAGAACTGGAAGAAGAAGAAGAAAAAAAATCACACCCCAATTATTAAACAATTCGTCATTTCCATGGCGAATCGAACCCCGGCCATGCGGGGGTTGGCGGCGGTGGCTAGCGGAGGACGGATGAGCAAGGAGGTTCGGCGTAAGGCCCGAGGCCGACAACACCGAGTCGAGTCACCGGGGCCTCCGCCGGGTAACTCCGCCTCGACTCCTTGTCACAGCCGGGCCCACGGGCGGCGGCGGCGGCGGCGGGGGAACGCAACGCCACCAGCGCTCGCCCCAGCCCGCCACGGCCCGCCGACCTCGCGACAAACCACCGCCAACAGCCCCCTCCCCTCTCACTCTCCCCAGCCCACCATGTGTCGCCTTTCTTGAGCGGAGTCTTGAGCAGGGCGCCGATGTCGCCCTTCTGCGTCGCGAGGTCCGCAGCGCCGCCCTCCGCCATCTCGCAGCCCGGGCCCTCCTCGTCTCGCGCAGTCATCGTCGTCGACGTCGCCACCGGCGGCGGCAGCAGCAGCAGCACAAGCGGCGGCGGCGGCGTCGGTGTCGTCATACTCTCGCCGTCTGACGTCACGCCTCGCGCCCCCGTTGCCATCTTGCTAAGGGGGAGCCTCTATGCGGTCGGCGCTTATGTAAGAGGGGTGACGTCATCGCGAGGGAGTGGTTGGGTGCGGTGGGGGGGGGGCGAGGAGGGGGGTGGGGTAGGGGCGCGTGGGGGGGGGGTGGATCGATCGGTGTAAATCGATGGCAGGGAGTTGGATCGGTTAGGTTTTGTATTGGAATTGATGATTCCCATCGTCCTCGCAACGGAATACAGTATATCTACTTTAATCTCCCAGGAATGTCTATCCGTAACGCGCGTGACGTCACTCCACATCGACCAGCCCCCTCATTCATAATCATGAGCAGGTGACGTCCTCCAAATGGTCACTCCCCCACCCCTCCTCATTAATAATCATGATCGGGTGACGTCACTGAATATGGAGGACTCCCCCCCCCCGCTCACTAATAATCATACGCAAGTGACGTCACTCCACATCCAACAGCCCCCTCTCATTAATAATCATGAGCAGGTGACGTCGTCCACATGGACCCCCCCCTCATTAATAATCATGAGCAGGTGACGTCACTTCACTTGGACACCCCCCCCATGCATAATAATTAGCGGCTGACGTCACTCCACATGGGGGGGGCGAGGCGCCTCCTCCCCCCTCCTCGGCGTCAACTCACAACCCCCACTACAAAGGCAGAACCCTCACGTCACGTGATCTCCGTCACGCTGTTGAGACATCAAAGTAAAAAGGACGTCATGATGAACACGGGATTAACACATTCCTGCGGAGGGAGCTGGTAGGAACGTTGGGTTGCTCGGTCAATGGCCAGGGTCAACGGCGGCACCACGTGGTGTATTCCGCAAATATGCCCGACTGTGAGGGCGGGCACAAGCCGGCGTGAGTAGTTGGACTGGAAGCCCAACCGGGATTAATTCACAGGAGGCAGGGGATTAATTGTGTATGTCTGTGGATGTCTGTCCACGTGTATCCGGACACCCGGATAAAACGGGAGAGGTGGGGCTGGGTGGAGAGGAGAGGGTAGGGAAGGGCTGGGTGGGGAGGGTGGGGAGGGGCTGGAGAGGGTGGGGAGGGGAGGGTGGGGAGGGGCTGGGTGAGGAGGGTGGGGAGGGGCTGGGTGGGGAGGGTGGGGCTGGGTGGGGAGGGTGGGGCTGGGTGGGGGGTGGGGGGGGTGGGGGCTGGGTGGGGAGGGGAGGGGCTGGTCACCCCGTGGTGCCCTTATAAAACTTAACGTTTAACCTACTCACGCCGGCTTGTGCCCTCCCTCACAGTCGGGCATATTTGCGGAATACACCACGTGGTGCCGCCGTTGACCCTGGCCATTGACGGAGCAACCCAACGTTCTTACCAGCTCTCTCCGCAGGAATGTGTTATAAGGGAACCACGGGGTGACCAGCCCCTCCTCACCCAGCCCCACCCCTCCCACCCCCCACCCAGCCCACCCTCCCCACCCAGCCCCTCCCCACCCTCCCCACCCAGCCCCACACAGCCCCTCCCCACCCTCCCCTCCCCACCCAGCCCTCCCCACCCAGCCCCTCCCCACCCTCCCCTCTCTACCCAGCCCCACCCCTCCCATTTTTGGATGCACGACGGACGGACACAATAATCCCCTGTGGGCTGGTGGTGTAACCAGGAGGTTCCTACCAGTATAACCTTAAAATTAAATAAGTCTGTATCACCGCGCCCTTACAAATTGCACACGAATTGATGCAATGAATATCGCGTCGTGGTCTGCTTTTCGCTTGCAAGTTTCAGATTTACTGCAATACACCCGTCCTCGGAGGAATCCGATGAGCCGTGAAGCTCTTTGTCCTGGCAGGTGTCCAATAGGGTCTGGTCAGAACGTTAAAACAACAAACAATACAACAACACGAGAGGAGTGCAAGTATAGGAAATGTAAACTTATCACCTAAAATATATACAAATAAAACTAAATAACGTATTTTAAAAAAAAATCTTACTAGGTTAAAGCCCACTGAGATATTTATGTTTAATTCAATTCTATTTTTTTCTTTGGGCATATGGCAGCAACAAATTCAGGAGCTAAATAGCAATGCCTAGGTCTGCGATACAGGACAGGGCTTCAGAAGTTTCATGTAGTTTTGCTATTCCTTCGCAGTTGGAGCGCAGACTACGATAGTTTACCGCTGTATGTGCTTTTTGTGTGAACAGTAGTTGGTTGTCCTTTCCCCGCACCTCCGATTAGCACGGTTGGGGCTACGTACGGTACGAAAGAAGTTCAACGTACAGTACATACATAAGGCCCGTAGAGAGGTTATCTGACCCAAGTCACCCCGGAATAAGCTTAAGTGTGTGTGACTGTCATGAGCTCCTCCGGCAGGCAAGGCTGCATTGGTTGGGTCATGTAGCCCGTATGCCCAGCCACCGCATTGCCAAGCAGCGTCTGTTTGGCTGCATAGAGGGGGCTAAACGGGCGAAGAGTGGAGTTGCCGATGATTGGTACCAGCGTTGTCAAAATCGGCCTCTATGGAGAAGGCTCGTAAAGGACGCTACTGAGCAGTTGGAGGCAGTCGCCTTCCAGCAACAACGAAGTGCTGAGGAGCGACACTCACAACAACGAGCGGAGTGTCGGGCGGGTAAAATACAGCAAGGTGGCACAGTAGGCATACCTGTCAACCCCTCATCAGCGCCTGCCTTATTACCAACCAATTCAGACCGTAATGGTCACCCCGTGCCCTTATAAATCTCAACGTTCATCCTACAACGTCCCATCACAAGGGAGAAACTCAAACAAATAGACAAAATTTAGTTTTGTTGCCCGTATTGAAACGGCTTATACCGTATGGACCCGAAAACTCAGTTTACCTCTACAAGAATACGGGCAAACCGTATGGGTTGATAGGTATGAGTAGGGGGTACAGTTGGTGCATCTGCCGGTCATCTCAGTCAGCCAACCCATGGCACCGGCTGGGTCTGTCCCGAGACCTCCTCCTGTCAGCGAGCCTTCGACACTTCACGTCGCCTCAAAGTGCACCCGGCGTGTCACAGGCGCCTTTGTGACGTCACCGTCACTTCGTGGCTAATGGCGGCTCTAAGCCCTGAGCGGTCCTCTCGCTCCTCACCCACCCACCTAACCCTCACTGATGAGCGCACCGTAACGTTCGGGAAAATATGCCTCACGGCCCCACATAAATGTATTTATAATGTAATTCGTTTCATGCTGAGTGTCTTGCCGCTGTTGCTGCGTCCTGTGCAGCGCTTTGAGGTCCTTGATTTAAAAAAAGCGATGTATAAATGGAATTATGATTGCAGCAGTGTGCCTCTCATCCGCCGATGATTGACAAATGTTCCGCACGGTACGTTTGCCGACTAAACCGTGCTCTCATCGTATTGAGACCACGGTTAAGGTGTGATTATTACCAACTGGAAACGGTACACTTGGCTGTACACGCTCGTTAAGACGTGACAAATGGCACCGTACAACGGAGACCGGTTACAGTGTGCATGTTTAAGGCCGTAAATCCAGAAGTCGATTGATCATGGCCCAATGAATGCTTGACGCCATGAGGTCACGACGTTTTTGACGCCGTAACAGGATAAAATTAATTCGCGACAAAATTAATGATAGATTATGTTAACGCTTTTGCTGATATATGGAGTAATTGGGGGTGGCTTTGCCCATATAAGGAATACAGGCACGGGAATCGACGTGATTTTGTTTTACGATCCTATGTTCGATATTTTAAGTAATGTGTTTTTTTTTAAATCGTCAAAGTCGTTCCCGTCACTTGATTTCTGGACCTCAAGAGGCGATTTTGTTGATCTAAAAAAAACCCACATTAGGCCGCACGTTGCCGCTGATTGTCCTCTCTTGTGCATTAGCATAACGTATCATTCATTCTGTCGCGGATTAATTTGATCCTGTTACAGCGCCCAATTATTAGATGAACGCGTGCATCCCGAATTCAGAGAAAGGGACAGAGAGACGGCTGTCACTTTTTTTTTGGATATCCCCCCACCCCCAACACGTTTAATGTGATGCACAAAACGTAATCGGCAACAATAGTCGGTCGACGCTCCAAGCGAGAACCGCGACCATCAAATAAATGCCGCCATCAATTCAACAAGAGTGGTGGCACGTTGGGCGCGACGGTCCTCTCGCCGACTTAATGCGTTGATGAATGAATGGATGGAGCATTCGCCTCCGCCCATCCCCCTTGAATAACTCGAAGCATTTCATTGTCCCGTAGTAAGATGGCCTCGCACTTTGGGCGGCCAAGTCTCGCGAGAGGACGTTCCCCCCGCCCCCCACCCCCGTCCACTCCCCCCACCCCCGTCTACTCCCCCCACCCCCGTCCACCCCCCTTGAATAACTCGAAGCATTTCATTGTCCCATAGTAAGATGGCCTCCGCCCTTTGGGTGGCCAAGTCTCGCGAGATGACGTTCCCCCCCCCGTCCGCCCCCCACCCCCTTGAATAACTCAAAGCATTTCATTATCCCGTAGGAAGATGGCCTCCGCACTTTGGGTGGCCAAGTCTCGCGAGAGGACGTTTCCCCCCCCACCCCCCGTCATCGGCGAGAGGCGGTTTGGCGGGGGCGGTGGGCGCGGCGGAGCGGATGGGAGCGGGGGGGGGATAAACGCAAGTCCGGTCACGTGGCTCGAGCGCGGACCAATGTGGTCGCATGGGGCGCTCGTGCGTTGAGTCGCGGCCCCGCCCCCCGCCGTGATGGGTGACGTCACCGCGTTATTTTTGGGTAATCCCATGCGGTTAGAAGCACGTGGAGGTTTTTTTTAAATGCATGCCATTACGTGGCTTCTGTGGCTTCGCGGTTGCAGTCGTGGGTCCCTGGGATGATTAACTCTGTTGGAGCTCACATTCTCCTATAGCTCCGCCGCCGTCGCTGCTGCTGCTGCTCGCAAAGTGTCACTTGCCAATGTTGTCGTAACTTTCTTAAACGCCCCTGCTGGAAATCTGTGAAAAAAGAGCTTGATAGCTCATCGGATTCCATGCTTGTCAACCCATACGACATAGCCGTATTATTTTACAGGGAAATTGAGTTTTCAGGTCCGTATGGCGTA